TCGGTGGATGCAGTCCCTCGGCGGTGGTGAAGCATCCTCTTGCCCAACTGCTGTTGGGAGTCACAGAGTGGTGCGACGCGAGACAGGAGAAGGTCCTTCAGCGCTCAAACAATGCATGTCCTTGAGTGCGACGAGAAGGGTTTTGTTCCTCGCTTTGCTTGCTTAGTTTTTATTGTTTTTAACAGTTCTTGAAACCTTCTTGTGCCGGAAAAGAGCACTTGGCTCTGCTGTGGAAGGGGAAGGGTGACCCTTCCATCCCCCAGCCTCCGAGCTGGATGAGCGGGCAGGGTCTGGCTGGATCCCCCTGCACACCCCGCGCCTGGGCTGAGCTGGGAGGAGAAGGTCGCTTTGGGGATGAGCTCCACGGAAACACCTCCACGTGAAGGAAAGCTTTCCCCGGCGTTACAGCGGTGCTTTGTGGGAAGGCACGTGGCCGTTGCCGGCTAGCTGAAATCTCGGTTGCTCTGTTAAGTCAGGGCACAGTGGTGAGCAGCGATTCCCGGTAGCGCGCTTGTGGAAACCTGGACGCACGTTGCTTGCAAACTGCACCATCTGCACTGGCGAATAACGAGGTCCGCTCGGGATTCCAGCCTTCTTCTCGAAGTTCAGGCTCACGAGCCGCCGCAGAGCTGCCTCTCTGCTCTCATCTCGGCAGAGGTTTTCCTTGGGGAAACAATCCAACACCCAGGCCAGGTCCTGAATGCGAAGAGGCTGCAGAAGGACATTTGTTATGTTTAACTCGCCACCATTAGAAGTTTGCCGGAGCCCAGATTTAGCAATCTTCTGGTTGTGATGCGCATCTCTCCCAACAGTCGGTTCCCCAACTGTTAAGCTGAGGCATGACCTCCGTGATGTAAACAGCCTGGATCCATCTGCTCCTAAGCACAAAGTATGTGGGAGAGGAAAAGAAATTATTTCCATCATCCCTAGGCTCCTCGATTTTTCTCTCTAAATACTAACACGCACACACGCACTGGAATTGCATGCGACGCTATTAAGAGGAGATGGAGTCGCTCCAGGTAGGGGCTTTGGAGAGTCAGTTCTTCTGGGGCTTTGGCATTTATTACTGTGTCTATTAACTTTCCCCCTCTACGGGTGCAATTATGGATCAATTAATTCTAACTGAAAGCAGGAGAGGAAAAAAAAAATTGGCCCTGTTCCTCTTTGAGAGCAGGTATGAAGCCCAAGGAGATGTGACTGCTCAGCTTTTAAAGCTACACAAGCTACCGAAATAATCCTGGCAGAAGAGAGTCAGTGGGAGCGAGCGAGGATGGAGCATCAGCTGAAACGCCCTGTTTTCTGCCGCGTGGCAGCCGGCGGATTTGGGAGCTCGGGAAGATGCCGAGACTCTTGCCAAGCATTGCCTGCTGCCGTCCCGTGGCCTGAGGTTGGTGTCACCCAGCCACCCTGCTGCGGTGGGGCAGGACGCACCTCCAGCTCTGCACCTCTTCCCAGGGAGAACCGCTGTAGCGCCGAGAGAGAACGGAGTGTTGCAGCCATCTCTGCCGTGGGATGGGCAGGAGGGGTGGAGGGGACCTGCTCCTGCCCTGCGGCCGTCGGCCCCTTGCAGGCAGTGCCCCACCGTCCGTCGGCTCTGCGTCGGGGGGGATGCAGAAGTTGCACGTGCCCCTGTGCTGGAGATTTGCAAAGGTCTGCTCTCCCTTCTTTGTGAGATGGTTTGATTGTTGATTTTTTTTTTAAACCTGTGCTGGAGATTTGCAAAGGTCTGCTCTCACTTCTTTGTGAGATAGTTTGATTGTTGATTTTTTTTTTAATCTGTGCTGGAGATTTGCAAAGGTCTGCTCTCACTTCTTTGTGAGATAGTTTGATTGTTGATTTTTTTTTTAATTTTTTTTTTGCTCAGCTGTTTCTCATGTAAAACAATGTGGATGTGTGTGTTCGTGCTGCATCTCCAGAGCAGCAGACCCAGGAACTCCTCCCTGTGTCACGTGCGGTCCTGCCGCAGCAGTAATGCCATCCCAGTAACGACGAGAGCTCACCACTGGCCCTTGTCTAAGCTACTGCAGAGGTCCTGCCTGTTTCGCCTCTCCTGACGACGAGATGTCTTATGTGTAGCTTATCACTGGGAGCAAGAAGATGAAAGAGTGAAGAGAAAAAAATAAGCCGTGCGTGGAGGAATAACGTTGATGACTCTTGCATAGTTTCCGAGTCCAGACAGGCTGTGTTTTGAGTCTTTTCCATCTCCCTTTCCCCAGCCCCTGCAGAGAAAAATCTGCTTTGCAATCCCCCTCCTCCATTCATTGCAGCTGTTGAGGGCTGGTGGATTCCTTTCCCATACCCAGTCTCATACTTCCAGCCTCTTTCCAGGGTGACAAAGCTGCTACAATCACCGGTATTGGTGGTCCGCAGCACCAGCTGAATGGGTGCGGAGCGGGAGGGGATGCTGCCTGGCCTGGGAAGGCTGGGTCCTCGGGTCTGCCAAGGAGAAGACCTTTGGTAGCTGATGGCGGAGCAAGAAGTTGAGCACGATGGCAAGAAAAATGAAATCCATCTGCCTTGTACCAAACAAGAGAGTAATTTAAATCCTCCTAATTGCTTCCACTCATCCTGGTGATGTTAAGTCTTTTCTCCCTTTAAGTCTTTTCTGCCCCCCACCCCCAGCTCTTGCACTAAGCCTTTGAAAGAAACGACTAATGTTATAATTAAAGGATCAATTTGGCAAGATTTCTTTGTCTTAAGATCTTCTTTCTTTCAGGTTGGGTTAGTGCTGCGTTCCCAGTCTCCGGAGAGTTTTCTTCAGCTCCTTCAGGAGCCTTCTGTACCATCTCTGAAATCTTTTCACTTCACTTAATTTGAATTTTTCTCCCATCCAATTTTGAGGCATAACAAACGATGAATAAAATTAAGTTTTATAGCAATTAATAATGAGGGCATTGAAGGAACAAGTGTACATTTTCAAAGGAGGCAGGGGTTTTTTTGCTGGCTCTACATAAAACCTGGGCCCTGTGCGTTTGAGCCAGATCGAGTGGTTTTAAGCCAAAAACGCTGGGAAGAGGATTAATGTCTCGGAGGTAGGCGGTTTGTGGAGGGGAAAGCGGGGAGACATGTCACCGCAATACAGGAAGGCTTGTGGGGAGATCTTGAGTTGATAGCAAGATGCCAACAAACATGCCTGAGAAATATTGCGTCGGAAGCAGGAAGGTTTGGAAGCATCGAG